GCAACCATCCAGCCAATTCCTCATCCACCCATGGTTGGGGGGGACCATGGCAAGGCCTTACAGAGGTCCAGGTAGACGACATCCGTAGCTCTTCCTTTGTCCACTGATGTAGTCACTCCATCACAGAAGGCCACTAGGTTGGTTAGGCAGGACTTGCCCTTGGTGAAGCCATGCTGGCTGTCTTGAATCATACATCACCCAATCCGACTTCGGTCTGGCTGCCATAGGGTGAACTGGAAAAGGAAGGACTGAAATAATTTCATAATTCAGGTCAGAGTCTCAGAATGAAGTGCAGGGGCTCCAGAAAGCAAGATCAGTGGTTTTGTAGCCCAGATATGTGAGTTTAACATCAATGGAGGTGAGTTCATTCTTTGTTTTCACCAAGAAGATGGAGCACTGCAGCGCAGTAACTAATTTTAGTTGCATTATTAGCCTTTCAGGTTCACAGATAACAAGAGTGCTTAAGGGAAACCAGGCGGCCATGTGTGGGGCTGATAGCTATAGAAACCCTTGTAATGACTGTGTTGATCAGAATATAAAAAATGTAAAGACCATTACAGATCGAAATATGGGGCTTCCTGATATTTTTTTCTTTTTGTTTATTTACTGAAGTTGCTGTAATGTGGTGGATATTGCCTGCACAAAAGAATACGTGCAGCCCAAGCATATCACACACCTCCAGAGATTGCAGTATATTAATAGATGTCATGATCTATACGTTTCTTCTCTCCATTGTAGATGTCAGCATAGTCTCAAAAATTGGTAATTTTTCATTTCTTAAACAATATTCTGAGGTCTCCAGTATAACTGAGACTGATACTAGTTAAAGAAAGAGTTCATGAATTACGTTAGGGTTAAATAAAAAATGGTTCTTACACGCTTACTGAGATGAACAGCTATGTATTTTTTATTACTCAGTCACTATTCGGTTAGTGAGAGCCCCACAAAGCCTGAGCCTTAGGCTCGGACCCCAGCGCTCCGGAGCAGGGCGGCTCAGCTGAGGTTTACAAAGTCCGGGGAGGGGAGGGGATGGCGTTTGACCAAGGTCTGCTGGCAGGGACCTGTGACTCCAGCTCTGGCAGGCCAGCCGGCCACCACACACTGCTCTCCTGGACTAGCAAGGAGGCAGCGCCGGGCAGCTGCCCCTGAGGGATCAAGAGGCGATGAGAAATGCCGGGGTGCCTGCAGGAGACATCGCAGGTCAGGACAAGGCACGGGAAATATTGCCTCAGTTCCAGACTGAACTCTGCCGCTGGATTGCCCTCTTCTAAACACGTGGAGGCCAGCGTTGCTACAGTTCATAGCCCATTTCTTATCCCTTCTGCTCATGAGCCTGGACACCATAAGCTGCTTATATCTGTTAATTCTTTCTGCTCCATGGCAAAGAGACCCTTAATGTAAGCTGTGGCACTAAGATGGATGTTGTGGAAGGAAAGGGGAATTGACCCATTTGTGATTCACAAGCGATTTGGGAAATCACAAAAGATTTATGTTGTCCATGAAGAACTTGCTAAACAGCATTATGTGAAGATTGCAATTATTTCGCTGCTGACTATGCTGCAGGACACCTTTTGTTACCCATGAGAATTTTTTATTTGAAGTAGAGCGTGAAATAGTCATGTGAAGACACGAGTGAATGCAAATTACCATTCGTCAGAAAAAGGGAAATTTAGTCATATATTTAGCAGTCATTTCCCCTTTTTTGGGAAATCCAAATACATATTTTTTTCTCCCTCTGTGTCTCTGTTTCTCTCATCCTCACACTACGGAAGGAAAGAAAGGTGGGTCTAAAATGTCATTTGGTTCTGACACAAATCTGATTGGGCAATGAGAGGCAAATTTCCGCTATGTGTTGAGCTAAACCCTATATAAGATCCTCATTAGCAATTTTCCATCTTACATCTTTTAATGAGAAGCTAATGGCTGAAAGACTGAAGAAACACAGGTGAGTGAATCTGATGGAACTTTGGGAATGAAAACCTCCCCAAACCCTTAGATTGTGTAGGGTTTATGGAGATTGCTAGATACTAAACCAAAGGGACCGGAAAGCTCTGAACAAAATAAAATAACCAAGTATTTTCATCAGGCAAAGGATCTAACGAGAGAGAAACTCCTCTGTTATGGGGTATTGCATGTGAACCATGGGGCTTCTTAATGCCACAGACAAAGCCACTAGCACCTAGTCCAGGTGTAGCTAAGAGGGGCTACAGCTCCGTGCTGATACCCTGGAAACCCTTGCAGATCTAGCGGTGGGGGAGATGACCTGCGGTTATGAAACAGTATTATTGAGCAAGAGGTTGGCTTTGTGGCATTGCAGAAATGACAATAAGCTGGAACTAGTTTATTATAGTCAAACTATCAGATGTCAGATAAATATAGCTACTAGAACAGGGGGGAATTTGGATTAAAAACACTTTATAGGATACACAAAAGATGCCTGAGGGTGGGTACCTATGAACGTGACTGTGTTGTATCGATAGAAATATGTTTTTGCTTTTGGATACAATTTGAAGTCAATGTCCAGTCATTTAATATTCATCCTATGGGACAATCATGGTGTTAGGCTAATGTTAAATGCATGCAATTTACATTTCTGTATGTAAAATGGAAATAGTATGTATCACGTGCATATGTGTACTGTATTGCACATAAAAACCTTACGTAGAGCATAAACCAGTGCTTATATATAGCATGTTTTATATATTTTTTCCTGTGGTACCTTGAGATAATCAGTCAACGGAGTAGCAGCAGCCAAACCTCGTGGCAGACTAGAAAGCATGCGGTGATGTACGCAGAAGCTGCCTTGCCCATGCCAGGCCAAGACAGACAACAACTCATGAATGACTGGCAGCGGGTAGTGTCACCTGATCTGATTTTTAGGACAAGTTGTTCAGGGTTTTCCTCATCTTTTTTTAGCACAGGTGGTAATAATGCCCACCCTGAAAACTCACTGGCTCACCAACAGCAAGGCTGGCGTGCATGCCATGGGAGTCAAAGTTTTTTGTCCCAGGAGAAACGTTTGTTGGAGGCTTTGAAAGCTTGGCTCTGGTTATAGCAGGAAGCTTGCCTGCAGCCTGATCTATGCTAGCTGGCCTGCTTTGGTAGCCATAGCAGGGAAGGTAAAGTGACACAGGACTTAATGAGGGCTGTACAACCCTGGGAGACACCTGAAGTGACTGCTTAAGAGAGCTAAAGTCTGTTCTGCTGCATCTTTGCTCCTGCGTTCGCCCAAGCTACTATACTACAGCTAACTTGAAGCTGCTGACCTGTGCCTCTGCCACATCTTACTGCAAAATAAGCAGAGCTAGATTTTTCCGCCCGTAGCTGTTGCACTAAAAAGCTGTGGGGGGACAGCAGCATCTTGTGGCATGTTGTCTGCATCTCCTGGAGTGAAAGGAAAGGGACGGAGTGACGTGCTTGTGCCACGCCAGATGCTCTTGTGCCGCAAGTCAGCCCCCGTAAACAGGGGATGAAGAAGCCTTTCTGCTCACTAAGGGTGAATGAACCAAACCTCACCAGGAAAAAAAAAGAGCAGTTAACCCTTAAGTTAATGTTGAGTATTTTCATTGTATCTTCTGTCTTGTAATAAACTTCCTTGCAGGTTTCAAGACACTTCCCCTCAGTCTTCTTCCGATTTCCTCTGGGAAAAAATGCGTGGGCTCTTCTTTGTCCTGGTGACGTTCACAGCGGGCACCTCTGCTTTCAGACTCCAGCAAGTCAAAAGCACAGGTAAGGGCATGCTTCCTTTTTTTATTCTGTCTCCCTCTCCCTTATTTTTAATTGCCTGTCTGACAGTAATGTAAAAATATCTCTGATTTATATAGAAAACTGCCCAGATCACACCGTGTTTTTCAAACATTACTATGAACTGCATGGAGAACCTGTGGTTCTGAAATGCCCTTCCCCCAGATACAAACATTTGGATTTTTCTGCCTTGACCCCTAATATCACATGGTATAAAAATGGTTCAAAAACCATGATATCAGGAAGAGATGAAGATCCAAGAATGTGGGCAAAAGGAGATGCACTCTGGTTTTTGCCAGCGATGCTGGAAGACTCAGGAGTATATATCTGCACTAGAAGGTGGGTATTTAAAAGAAAATCCAGTGCACTAACAAGATGACTATAGCTAAAATACGTTAGCTTGATTATAAACCCCAGTTATGTTCAGAGCATGTCTAGATAAGATCATTTCCTCGCTGACTTTATTAGAGAAAAAAATGTGGAAAGTCAGAACTTAAATGCACCGTGTGTCTCCTATAGATACATACACTGAAATCTGGATAAATCGTGACGCAGTATTGCCATGCAGGCTACGATCTCACCAGAAAATAGTGTACGTGAGAGTTTGTTCTAGCTTATGTATAAGCCAGCCAGGGCTGCGGCAAGTGGGGACATGCTGCAGGCAGGGGACCCTGCAGAACCCAACCCTGGTGTTACGGGTCCACAGAAGCGAATAGCCTTCTTTGCACTTCAGTTCGCGTTACGGAGCGTATACCAAGGCTCTGGAGTGGCTTCCTTCCTCCCTCTTCTTTATCCCTGGTCTTTGCTTTTCTTCTGCTGCACATTTTAAACCAGAATTTGATTGCCTTGGTACTGCTGGAATATCTGTTATGAGACCTGATGTGTGTTTACTAGGCTGGTACCAGACTTGGGATACTGCAGTGGGTTGAGACTTGAGCCACTGCTTTTTTCAGCCTTACTGGTCATTTTTTTCTGCGTATCTGACAGCCCATTGTACAGTTTCAAAAGATGCACCAGGATCTTGATTTGTGGGAGACTGAGGAAGGCAAAAACGACCATCACCGCTAGGGCCTAAACTCCAGAAGATGTCCTGGGTCCTTGTCCCCTGCCAGCTCCTCCTTCCAGTCAGCCTCCCAATACACTCCTGGCAACTGGCACCTTGCTCTGGGTTCTGTAGTGGAAAACATATCTATTCATCCCTGGAGCTGCCTGTGTAGGGCACAGTTTCCTTGCTGGCAGGACATACCTCATGAGTGATGTACGTCAACAGTAGAAGAGATGGACAGGAAGAACTCAAATTAATAAATCACGCTCAGCATATTGGGTTGGCTTTTCTACATGTCTCAGCAGGGATTGCAGTGGTGGGGTAGAAGAGAAGACTTGGACAGTGAGGCCAGAATAACACAAGGTTGCAAATACTGTCCTGGAGCAGAGTATTTGCCTGAGACCTTGAAGGGTGTGTTTTAATCCCCTTTCTGAACTATTCTGCCTTGGTTCCTCAACCTATAACACTGTGACAGTGTTACTGTTACTGTGAAACCTGTTTGAAAAAGGTATGCAAAAGCGAGTACATAGCTTCATCGCTAACATTATCACAGAATCACAGAATAGTTTGGGTTGGAAGGGACCTTTAAACGTCATCTGGTCGCATCCCCCTGCAACTAGATCAGGTTGCTCAGAGCCCCGTCCAACCTGGCCTTGAATGTCGCCAGCAATGGGACATCTACCACCTCTGGGCAACTCAGGCCAGTGTTTCACCACTCTCATTGGGAAAAATTTCTTCCTTATATCTAGTCAAAATCTACTCTCTTCTAGTTTAAAACCAGCACCCTTTGTCCTATCTCAACAAGACCTGCTAAAAAGTCTGTCCCCATCCTTCCTATATAAGCCCCCTTCAAGTACCGGAAAGCTGCAGTAAGGTCTCCCTGGGGCCTTCTCTTCTCCAGGCTGAACAACCCCAGCTCTCCCAGCCTGTCCTCACAGGAGAGGTGTTCCAGCCCTCTGATCATTTTTGAGGCACTCCTCTGGACCTGCTCTGACAGGTCCATTATTACAAGATTTAAAAAGTACAAAAAATTGTATTTCCTTTGCAAATCTTCCCACCAGATTTTTTTCAACACTCTGTAAAATGGGAGTAGAAGCAAATTATCACAGATCTCTGTTTCTGCTGAGGAAGTATTTTGGACTTAGGTGTCCGACCTGGAGGTGACAGCCAGTCACAGTGCTCTAGCGTTAGTACAAGTCCATCTACCAGCAGCCCCCAGATGCTCTCCAGCGGGTCGCAGCCTGGACCCCGTGGCTTTGCTGGCCCCTGCAAGGGTCAGGTACTGCCCTGGGTGTAGGCATCTTGGAGGCAGACTTTCAGTGCTTGGAAAACCCATAGTTTAAGCCGTTTGGTTCTCCTTGGGACTGGAAGCGATTGCCACTTGGGGTCAGAAAGAAAAGTTAAATATTGTAAAACTTTCAAAGCAGGGATGCCACCTTTTCTACGCAAAATAGTACGCACTCACAGAAATGCCTACTGGTTGTGCAATAGTAACTGCAGATGTATTTTAATGCATAATTAAAGCTTTTTGTTTCTTCCTTAGGTCCCAATCATTGGGATTTTCACAGTCAAAGCATCTTTCAAGGAAATAGTGGAGGGTTCATGATACACCTGCTATCTGGAATATGTCCACCTGTTTAGGTGGACATATTCCCCCTTCTTGCAAAATAAAAATTATGCTGTAGCCTAAGGGTGCACAGCAAACTTGGTGTACAAATAAGAAAAGAAAATCCTTAAACTCAGGGCAGACGTGTCAGCAACATGTTTAGGTTGTGCCAAAAAAAGAGTATCAGTGATTTTCCAGGACCCCTCCTGGTATGATCTCACTCTTGGCCTCTTAGAAATGGCTCAGGGGGGAAAACCAGGAGGAAACCAAGGGTGTCATTTAAGTTCCCCTTGTCCCCGCCGGGTGCTCACCTCTCCCCACTCTGTCTGCAGGAACTCCTCCTACTGCGCCGAGGTCTCCATCTACCTCACGGTTGTGGAGAAAACAGCTGCTCGGGAGATTGCATATCCCCAGGTCCTCTCCACTTTCACCTCTGGAAAGATCGTTTGCCCTGAACTGTGGGATTTTACACCAAATAGGACAAGCCTGGAGCTCAAGTGGTACAAGGTAGAACTTTCAACTCCTCTGTGCAAAGCCTAATCCCAACCCATTTGTAAAGGCGCATACATCTCCACTTTCTCTTTCCCCCTGAACATCGTGTTGGTAACGACATGAGCATTTTAACATCATAGCATAATACACTGGGAAATTTGGGGCAGGTGTATATATTGTAAGAAAGGTTGTCTGGAGTGGACTCAGCACAGGGTGAAGTGCTCCGCCTGTTAGATGCTCTCACAGGCAGTGTAACTGTCTTTAAGGTTACATTACCTACCCTGACTCCAGGGTTTGCCACTTCAGGTTAGGCCCTTCTCTTTGGCTTCTTTTTATGGCCCCTCTAGTGAATCCCATAAAGTAGGACCTGCCAGTGATGCTTCCCTCGTGTGAGCTCTTCAGATGGGATAGGTTTCATTAACCAACGGGAATACAGCATTTGGGGGTAGAGAATCCATCACACAAAGCTCATCGTGGTCTTTTGCCTAACCTGCCAGTCCGTGATTTTTCAAGTTGGCAAGCCTGTTTTGCCTGTAAGGTCAATTGTCCATCATCTTCAGCTGTCCAGTCTTGTACTGGACAGCATGTGATTCTTCTTACCTTTTCATAATACCTTAGTTTAGCTTTTATTTACATCCCTGCTGTGACTGTATGCTCTGCCCTGTGCAGCTGTCATTCTTACCATAGGATGCAATACCCGGGCTGGCTTCATACAGCAGTGCCTATGTTGTGATTGGTACCATACCAGCAAGATGTGTCTGCTCAGGCTTCCCTTCAGAAGCAGGCTGTAACTCACTTTTAGCTAAGTTAAAGCCTCCCCAATGTGGTTCACGCTACAGTTGTCAGAAACAGCTAGCCTGCCTTCATGGAGAAAGAGCAGCAGCATTGCTCCCAGCATGGCTCCAACCGATGTACGAACAGAGCGTTAGTGATACCAGTGTTAATGATACAGAGCAGGTATTTATCACGGTTTATGAGATCATGTAGGGTAAGGAATCACAGAATCACAGAATCACAGAATCACTAAGGTTGGAAAGGACCTTCAAGATCATCAAGTCCAACCATTAATCCAGCGCCACTGTGTTCCCTAAACCATCTCTTGAAACGCCACATCCACTTGTTTTTTGAACACTTCCAGAGATGGCGACTCCACCCCCTCCCTGGGCAGCCTGTTCCAATGCCTGACCACCCTCTCGGTGAAGAAATTTTTCCTAATATCCAATCTAAACCTCCCCTGGTGCAACTTGAGGCCATTTCCTCTCATCCTATCGCTGGTTAATTGGGAGAAGAGACCAACACCCACCTCACCACAACCCCCTTTCAGGTACTTGTAGAGAGCGATAAGGTCTCCTCTCAGCCTCCTCTTCTCCAGACTGAACAACCCCAGTTCCCTCAGCCGCTCCTCATAAGACTTGTGCTCCAGACCCCTCACCAGTTTCGTTGCCCTTCTCTGGACACGCTCCAGCACCTCAACGTCCTTCTTGTAGTGAGGGGCCCAAAACTGAACACAGGATTCGAGGTGCAGCCTCACCAGTGCCGAGTACAGGGGCACGATCACTTCCCTACTCCTGCTGGCCACACTATTCCTGATACAGGCCAGGACGCTGTTGGCCTTCTTGGCTGCCAACGAGCACCCCCAGGTCCTTTTCTGCTGGGCAGCTCTCCAGCCACCCCTCCCCAAGCCTGTAGTGTTGCATGGGGTTGTTGTGACCCAAGTACAAGACCCTGCACTTGGCCTTATTAAACCTCATACAGTTGACCTCGGCCCATTGATCCAGCCTGTCCAGATCCCTCTGCAGAGCCCTCCTACCCTCCAGCGTGATTACTAAAATGTATTTGTCTTCAAAAATGCCTTAGAATATTGCTCTTATGAGGTCATGTATGGAAAGTAGTAGCGTTGTGAAAACCTTCATGGTTACCAAAATGGTTTTTTTCTTAGAAGAATGTCTTAGATGATTACTCTTAAGTGAACTCAGGGAAGGCCTATTACATCTTTTCCATCTTAAAATGTGCACTTTGTTGAAGAACTATACAAACACATTACATATAGATTAAAATAGTGATTCTTCACACTTCATATAGGGCCTCAGAGCATTTTAGAGACAGACACACATTTGAAGAACTTGCCCTCTGGTGGGAAAGTGGAACTGCTCAGATTTCACAGTGATAAGAGAACTTTTAATAACAGAGAGCCAGGGATAAGCCGTTTTGGCTGGGAGTTACACAGGGCGCAGCCACCCCTATCTGAGCCCTAACACCAGCTGCCGTCCTTTCTGCAGGATGCTCTGCCTTTGGAAGACGCCAGTGAAAAATTTGTCATTCTGAAAGGTTCGACTTCTCTGATCATGACTTCTGTGCTACCAACAGACGCTGGCTTTTACACCTGCAAGATGGCATTTCCATATGAAGGTGTAAAGTATGAAATCACCAGAACAATTCAGCTGGAGACTGTTGGTAAATACCGACCCCTTAAAACGTTACGGCACGCAAGAAAATCTTTTCTTTGTTAATGAAACTCGGGAGAGGAGCTCACGCTCGGCCTCTCAGCACTGCCAAGGAAAGGGGGACGCCATGGGTGCTGGCTTTGGCACTGGCGGGTTTCCCACAGCCCCCGGCAGGGCTGGGGTCACCCCCGTGCCTGGCTTCCAGCAGGTTTGCGGGGGGCAGAACGTGATGTTGCAAGTGCCTGTGGCTGTTAAGCCGAATAATTTATGTCTTGGGGGAGGATCACTGCACATGACTTCAGAGGGCTTAGGAAATACAACACTTAACACTCGCTCAGGATGGGGGAACGACGCTATTTCGCAAACGGGTGAAAACGGCTCGCCCCGCCGCGGGGGGGC